TAAATTATAATTTTATTTGTTTTGTAATATTCCCCTCCTTGATTTCGAGTGCAGGGAGGCGTATGCCTGCTCGTAAATAATTTGCCAGCTCTGTGAATTAGTTGCGGCATCAGCAAGATAAATCAATTAACGCACAGCAAACAAAACAATTAATCAAGATGCAGGTTTTTAGTGGGATTCGTTGGGATCGAAAATAACAGCGAGGTAATTGAAAGGTCATCGATTCACTGACGGCCACATGGTGCCTGTTCACACCCGCTTCTTGCCTGCAATTTGTTAAAATTTAACGCTTTATTTACCGCCCTCCATCCTGGATTCTTGCCACTCCTCTGCCCCCTACCCCTTTTCCCCCTTTTGCAGTAAATGAATGTGAGTGTAGTGACACGTGGTACCCACTCCGGCACATTGTATCCGTATCTACAGTTGCATCTGTATCTACAGCGTGTCCTGGCTGAGCGACAGTTTGACATCTCTAAATAAAGTTTGCACTTGCCAGCTACGTGGGCGCACAACCAGCACACAGACACACACACTGGGCGACAACACCCAGGGCACAGAGGGATAGCAACCAACAGTGGCACGTTTGACAATTTAATGGTGTTGAGGTTATTTATACAATACGCTCGCTGCAACTGCTCAAATATTCAGTGACCGGCAGCCAATGACGTGTTCAGCAGTTGGTCCAAGAACCACTTTTATGGCTTTAGCTAGTCAGTTCAACTTAGGGTAGTGTATATATTGATGACTAGTGAATTTAAGTGGAAAGAAATTACAGGAAAAGTTGAAGAAAGTAAACAATTTGAAGTATTAGGTAAACTTTATAGTTTATGAGTTTTAAACTTGAAGAATAGGGATGAAAATGTTCTTATAAATCTAAATTATTTATTAAGAATTTCTTTTGGATATCCTTTTTGTTAAAACAAACAAATAAACTTCATTTTTATTGTATTTATCTATGGCAAAGTGAAATATACCCTCAGATAAGATTGCAAAGTCTGTTCATTGCCAAAAGGTAAAGATAGAAAATAGGTTCTACAAGAGCATACATTTATTACTCTATATACTTTATATTCTAGGATACTTTACCTTAAATTTAAGAGAATTAAAAAACATATTAGAAACCAGTTTAAATTTTAGCTTTAATAGACCTTAATCGGCATTTCGTCCCGGCTAATAGCTAAGCCAAGCTCAAATTGCATTTAAGTCACTGCCCATAGACGTTTGATTGACAGGACAGCTTCCTTCCGACAGCTAACAGGATCCAAAGTGCCTCGTCAGTCGCCTGGACAGCCAAGGATGCTCCTACTCTCACAGCACTCAGCACTCAGTGCCTTGCATTGGCGGCTAACCAAGGCATTACTCTTGGCCCGGGCCAGAACGCAGTTACAGCTACAGTTTATTGCCTCTCATTTAATTTCAGGCGGAATGGTTGAAACGCTCAGAATTAACGATCTGTTTGGCCGCATAAAGGCGATTACCGAGGAGATATACCCTCGAACTGCCGACGAGTTATAGCTTTTTAAATGCAGTTACTGGTCAACAAATTAAATAGCGCTGCTCTTTCGCCATAATCTATGGCAATTTCAGGCAGACTGAGTGGCAACGGTACGTATACGCAATGAATATCGAACACACTTGATTGAAGTAGCTTGATTAGCCTGGGATTCTGAAAAGCGATTTGCCATTATGAATGTCCCATTCGAATATTCGAATATTTGGCGGGAGCCATAAATCAGCGGCAGAGTGGGGCCGTGTCATCATGGAATTCAAATGAAATGACCTGCATCATGACATGCAAAGGCGGAATGCAAGGCTGCTAATAAATAAAAACATTCGAGTGCATTTACATAATTTTGATTATTTTCGCTGGATGCAAACACGGCGTCCTTAGCCCCGAATAACATTTCCAGTTGCCATTGCCATTAGGAGAGGGAGAGGGGGTGCTGTTTGGGTTGTCGGTGGTGAAAATGTTTTGCATTATGGAAATTTCCGTTTGTCATTTTGGGGCGCGAAGTGTCTACATGCAAATTGAGTTGCAACAAGCAGCAGCAGCAGCAGCACCGGCAGCAGATCTCGCAGCTTTGTTTGTTTAGTTTTACATTTGGCAAATGCAATCTTAACAAGGCTTCCTGTTGCCATGACTATGCCAGTGTCTGTGTCTGTGCCCTGCCAATACATTAAATTGCAATTTTAATTTGTTCAGCATGCGGCATTCCTCCATGCCATTCCGTTCCATTTCCCATTTTCCCGAACCACATGGCGTATGCGTTATATTCATACATAGCCCTGCATATATGCACTCACGGCCCTGTCTGCATATTTAATACTGCCATTCCACCTGCAGCTGCGGCCCAGACATCTGCCGGAGATACATTCGCATTAAAAATTTAAACAACACTGCAGACAGAGAAGAAGGAGCCCCGGCATATGATTCCAAATGGATTTTGGGGGCACAAACACTTAAAGCTGCTCGATATTGGTTAGCCTAAATATTCTATAAATTGTTATAATCCCCCAGATACAGATATATGCAAATGAAATGTCTTTTAATTTGGCTTCTCTCAGCCGTGTTCATAAATTTTCAGTTCTTTAAATTCAAGACGAAACACCACCGCATTCTCATTCACTATATTGCCAGAGTAGTATATATATTTAGGAGGAAAATATCGAAAGAGAGGCAAAATCAGGAAACGTAAAATATTTACATAATTGCTGATGATCGGCTGAGAGTGTCCCATTGAAGAACCCGAGAGTACAGAGACCCCGCGATGAGGCAGACTCGAGGAATGCGCAGCGCCAACACTAAAGTGAATATCAACGAACGACCTTCAACATGAAATGCGACGTAAAATAAATTTATCTCAATTATATATATGTATGCAGCTGAATCTGTATACACCGACCACGACCACGACCACTCTCGGGGGGCAAATCGGACGGATTTCGTTGGGGGTGGGACGGACTCTCAAGACGGCCAGTGAGAGATTCCTTTGCCTGTTTGCTTTACATTCACCTTGGCAATATTCGAATACGAATTTATTTTTGAAAAAGCAGCGTAAAAAAGAAATGAAAAATATTTCCCGCCCAGCGAGAAGCACAGCCTCCGTAAAGCAAACTCAGCGCCTCATTAATGCGCAGAAAATGAAAATCCATATCGAAATTATCTCTTTCTAATAATTTTTTCTTCGGTGGCTCTCCCATTTAGGCTCCACTGTGGGCGCCTCTTTGTGTGTGGAAATATGTATATTTCGTTCATCTAATGACGCCAGAACATTTTTATGCAGATTTCTTGTTTAAATATTTATACAATATCGGCTTGTCTTGTTGGAAAATGTATCAGAATGAACTGCATTTTTAAATATAATAGTACAAGAACGGCTTGTTTGATTTATTTTGGCTAGAGTTTGTGTAAACAAAGAGGAGAAGCAGCATAAAATGTTTTCATGTTCATTTTCATTTTCGTTTTCATTATAAATCCACGTGTGAGGGGAAGCCATTTGAATGTCCCTGCGGTTTGGCAATTTCCGCTGTAAATGCTTTAATTTCCTCTTCGATTAAAGTTCCTTTTTTTCTGGCCAAGATTCGCCATAATTGCCAAGAGTAGCTGGCCGAAGGAAATTGAGAAATCAGCTTTTGCGCCATTAGCACATGAGAGCCAGAAAAAGGGTTGGCCAATCGGTCAGGTTGCCGTCGACACCTTTCGCCGCAGGTAGACAAGTATTTCCGTTTGTTGTTATTTGCCAATTTGCGAAAACTGCCTGGCAAAACGAGACGTGGACGCACAGCCCTTTTTTTGCAGCCAAAAAGGGACGCCATGGTGTGATGGCACTAAATCAGGACAACGCCTCCTCTGTGGGTAGCTTCCTTTTGCCCGCCTCGTGTTACGCGTCCTAGGTCTCTGTTTTTTTTTTTCTACCCGGTCCCTGTCCCGAGTTCTTTTCATTTTTGGAATTGCCCGACGCTCGACATTTTTCATGCTACAGGGATTTCCCAGCACTATTCTCCCTTTTAACCATTTCCGGCTGGAACCCAACTACTTGACACTTCCTTTTTCCCCTTTTTCTCAAAGTTTGGGGGCTTTGTCTTCGACTAAGGCACTGTAGATACAGTTACCACAGCTTTGCCCTCGGCTTTTCCCGCTCCTAACGCTCATCTGGTGTGACATTTATCCTTCATCGTTTGCTCTTCCTTGACGCCGATTCGCTTTAGCTTTTATTTCGGCTTTAATACTGGCAGAGGGAAAAAAATTATTTGGCCTCTCTTTTGTTTTATGCGTTAAATTTATTGTTTCTGACAATGGAAACGGCGTCGCAAATGTTTCCTGATCACAGTCCGCCTTATCTGGGCACCCTTTTCGGCTCGGATTCAGTACCCCTCGCCCTGTATCCCCCGACGATTTCCCCATAGTCCTGGCCCGGGCATTGTCGTATTTTATTGAAATTCATGTATTTTTAAAAGCCCCTGCCCATGGGATGCGGCTCTAAATCGTTTAAGCATTTGTTCCAGCCATTCTCGCAGCTTGATTTCGCCAAAAACCATTCTGCAGTTGTGTTCGGTTTGTTTTTTATCTGTGCATAAAAGTTAATGTTTTGCATCGGTATCAGTATCATGAGCCGAAAATGTTTATTGTTTTGGCCCTTTATTAAAGCGTAGTTAACTGCTGATAACTTCAGTACAGAACAAAAAAAATGGTAAGGGATAGAAAAAACAGCTGCTAAGCCTTAGATTTGTGTTGATTTGATTTGTGTCCATTTGCAATTCTGGCTTTTGGGGATAAGTTCCCTCTGGCAACAGCGAACCAATAACCCAATTGGACGAGTTATCGCTCTAATATCTCGCCAAAGAATATACAATAATTACAATTCGCTGTTCGAGAACAGTATCAGAGGGTCGCTGAATACACAGATAGCAACCCTTATCACTGCTGAAACACAATACGTATACGCCGCGTTGACGGCTCTCTCTGGTGCTGCAATTAGTCGACTGCCATTTGGACTTACCACCTTCCGGCTCTGAGTCATCTATATAGATCATGTTGCTGCGTCGCTTGGCGCCGATTTCCCGCAAACGTTGACCCGTTTTTAAGCAGCTTCTCCTACAAAATTTTCCACTGCACAAACTTTCTTCACACGCGTTGGTTTTTTTGTGTTTTTTGCTTAATTTTTGTTGGTTGGTTTTATTTAATTTCGTCAATACCTAATGGAAATTATAAGTATTCATCACTCAGCATTTTGGGTTTTTGCGTTTTGGCTTCACTTCACTGGGGGCACTGGGTGGTTTTTTTTAGAAATTGATTTTGGATATCTTTCGATTTTTTGCGCACTTAAAAAATGGCACAAAAGAATTATACTCTTTATTTATAGCTGCTGTTGGCGGCGCACCACGTTGCGTATGCTTGATATTAGCGCAAAATTCGAACGCGAAAGCTATTGTGCTATTGTGTCATCGCGAGCGAGCGTTTTGCCTCAAACTGTTTTGGCCTGGCGGATCACTATTTGATTTGAGCTGTTTTTCGCCTCAGCCTCGGCAGTGTTTCTGCGTTTTCCAATGCACAGGGAGAAATTAATAAGTATTACGTTTATTTTATTTAAAACAAGACATTTAAACCTGATTTTTTACAAATTTTTCTGACTTAAAACAAAGATTTATGATATTCGTTTGATTTGTCATTAATTTTTCCTTTAGGTTATGATTATTTTTCACAGTGTGCCTCTTCAGTCTTTTGCCAATACTCGCTTGTGTGTTCCTTTGTGGTTATAAATGTGTTTCGGCTGATAACTGCCACGGCACTGAGAGAATTCGTGGGCACTTTTCGCCGATCTGCCGTTTGCTTTCTCTCTCTCTGGCGAACAACCAATACGTATCTATAAATAAACAAACACAGGCACATATAGGGGGCCAAAACCTCCGATATATGTATATATAAAGGCGCACTCGTATTTGTATGCGCGGTCTTGTCTGTTTGGTATAAAAATAAATTGCAGAGCAATTTGTACGCTGCGCTCTTGTCGCTCATTTCGCGACTTGTTTTTGTAAGCGAATAAAAATGATATTCCCTGTTGTCGTTTAGCACATTTTCTACAGTTTTCCGATTTTTTTCCGATTTTCTTTTCTGGCAACCGAAAGCTGGCAGGACAGCAACAACAAATCGGTGGGATCTATATATGTTTGTGTATATATTTGTGAATCCCATTAGTTTTATATAGGTTTTGCTTCCTATTCGTAGTTTGTCACTTTTTCGCAACTTGTTGACGCCCTTAAAGTTTGTTCTAGGAGAAATCTTGACTTTATTTAATAATTTAATTATTATTACAAGTCGTAGTCATTAGTATTCCCTTTTCATAAATATATTTGGTGAATTTAAAAGCCTTTATTATACAGATAAGACCTTGTCTCTTCAAGTACCTTATCATTTGTAAAGACATCTATAAGGCCCCTTTTGTATGGTTTTTATACATTTCTTTTCGATGATTGCAAATCTAAAATTAAAATGCCTTCTGCAAATAGAATACTTTGAAATCATTTCCGTAATTTCCACATTAATAGAACTGTAATAAGTTCAAGAGAAAATCGTGGGCCTCTCATGAAAACATTAAACAGAACTCGTAGACAGCAAAATCTACATTTGCATTCCATAATCTCGGGCATTCCTTAATCTCATGGCAAATCGCTCGCACAACACATTCCCGAAGCCAGTGCATAAATTCTCATTATATCTGAACCAAGTGTGAACTATAAATAATGACCATTATCTAGACTTGTTATTAAATTACGTACTTCTATATTTATATGGGTTACCGGTACGCCGTAGACTCTGTAGAACCGTGGCCGTATCTTATCAAACGGAAGAAAGCCCAATAGCCGGACGTTTTGAGAATAAAAGGCCATGCGTCATGGTCACACATGGAGGCATACATAAATAGATGAGTGGAGGAGTACACTGAGGTAAGACAATAGTAAAGTCACTCTTGAAACTACTTAAAAATTGTTAAGATATGTTTTGCTAAACAACTAAAGCTTCTTCCTATATTTTTAGTATTTACCTAAATAGTTTACTTTATAAATTTAATAGTATTAATAAATTTCTATCAGTGCATTGGTGTCTAATTGGTCTGTAAATGGAGTGGGCATAGCAAAGCTTAAATCGCTTTAAAAATGTTGCCTCTGCCTGGAGCTAACAATAACACCGACTGAGCCGTTAGGAGCAAACCGAAACCTGTGCCATTAAATTACGTATACGCGCTGTTGGCAGATGCAGCCATAGAACTGCCCCTGGGCCGCTATCCACTCCTGCGACGTTAAGCCAGCGAAGGCAAATAAACAAAACGCCTGCCGTCCAGGTTGGACCACTTGATGTGAACGTGCCCAGACAAGGGCGTGTGGCCGGGAAACGTGTTCTCACCGAATGCCAGCACTTGCATCCCCTGGAATCCAGCCACAGCTCCCACCAAAGACCACTCTAGTAGTTCGGCGAAGGCTTTAAGCCTTTCGGACACAGAGAGTCCAAGGCAAACAGACTGGTTGGCGGCGGCGAACTAAGCTGTGTTTTGATTTGCGCCCGGCTCTGGCTATTGGGCGACCAGTGACCAAGGGCTCATCCTGGCCGGCTTTTGCGTCACGGGCTTCCGCCTTTGGCCGCGCTTTGAATAATGCAAATCCCCTAAATGCGCTAAACGCAGCGGGCGGTGTTTGCTCCTCTTGATTTTTTCTCGCACAGATCGAAAATTGCGATTGCGGCACGTCTTGTTTTGGATAATACTCTGCCAAGGGGTTAAGTTGGTGACTTGAACGGTTGATATTTTGAGATTGTTTAGGGATTGAGCCATAATTAAACATATAATTAATTTTTAATCAATTAGTGATATTACTGAAAAAGTTTTCTATGTATAAAACTTAATTTGAGATAGAAAACAAGTTCGGAGTCCACCTTTTTTGGCCTCAAATAGCAACAATCTTTTAAATTTAAAATAGTTTTCAATGTCTTAATAATTTTGAAATTTATATTAAATTATTTCCTCTATTACTTAGCTAGTCTTTTATTTTCCCAAGTGTTTCATAAGATTTTATTTGTTTATTAATTGCTGTAAGAGTTTGTTCTACTGATAAATGATTTCGACGGAACAAACATTTAACATATATTCATATACATTTCTATACCCAGAATCATTATCTAAAAGTGCATTTATTTTGTTTATTGCATTTTAATCTCTTTCTAAAGGGAATCGTAAGTTCTTGCTGCCCCAAGAGAGCATTTCCAAAACAATTTAGTTGATTTGTTGTTGTTTTGCTTGGCATTGTCACTGCAGTTTTCGTTGCTCCCCGTGGTTTTTGTTAGAGCTCATTTTTTTTCCTTTATACCTTCACACCTTGCCAGCCAGGTGCAAAAGCCACCGTTTTGCGGGGAATAATGTTTTTACACCTCCAAAACCACACCTCCTGTTGGTTATTTTCGGGGTACACAAAATTGTTTAGTTGTCACGCAGTATACAGTATTTTTTTTTGTTTGGTCTTGTGTCGCACTTTTCCCTGATAAACTTTTCACCTGGCAAATGTTTACGCAAGAATATCAATGCGAATTGCCGTTCGCTGGGATATTTTTTTGGAAAATTGACAAATTCTGGCACTCGCTGCCGCCGCTGCCTCCTCGGTTGCTCATTGCACGCGTGCAACTGTTTCGGCATGTTCGAAAATATTTTTCAATTTCAGTCTAGTTTTTCGGGGGGAATTTCGTGTAGGCAACGCCTCGTTGCGCTATTTTCGTGCTTCTTTTGCTTCTCCCCGTTCGCTTTGTTTTTTTTTCTGTTCGTTTGTTGAGCACGATTTTCGAAATCATTTTCCATTTTCTGCCGGATTTCCCTGTGAAGTCAGTCAGTGTTTATCGCGCTAAACTTCTTTGGGGGCTAATAATAAACCGGCAAACAACAAACAGCAACAGCCGACAATCGCACCTAAACAACTGCAGCACAGCATTGGTCCATTAGCCCCATTTTTTTCCCAAGCATTTTCCATTTTCCGGGTGGTACGTGAGGGAGAGCAGGCATGGCATACGGGTGAAGCTTTGTTAAAAAGAAAATGCGCCGTAGAAACAGGTTGTTGTTGGTATTAATTAATGAAGAATCAAGTGAAAACTCTTTGGAAAATTTGTTTTTAATATTTTTTTTCTATAGTTATGGCCAGTTTTGGCCTTCTTTCAGATACTTTAATAAGGGTATAAGATAAGGTAAATATATTATAGTCTTAGTATTAAATTAATCGCAAACAAACACTATAATCAGTTGTCATTTGTACTATCTTTTATTTATAAACTATGATTAAACAATTAATTAATATTACAAATTATTACTATTAAGGACAAGATACCAAACACGATTCAAAGTTTATGAAGATCAAGCACGCCAACTTTGAATATATAAAACGATTCGCTTGACCATCAAATTTATTTCAAAAAACCTTTAACAGTTTCAATTTCAAACAATGTCACGCGGATATCTGCAGACTTTCCTGATCCTTTCCATCTCAACTCTGGTATGTACATCCATTTGAAGAGGATTACAGATCCTGATCCTTGAATAAATATCCACCAGGGATATGTCTGTACTTTGTACGAACTTCGATTTCAAACATTGGAACCACTGAAGGGAGATACGGAGACACTGATCGACTTCAAAGTGCGACTAGTGGGTCGAGAACGGTTGGTCAATGGGACTCTTAAATGCTACACTGATATAGACAATGAGTTTGAGTGGAAGATCAACATAGAGCAACACATAAATGGCGATTGGAAGCCCCTTCTTCAAAAGCTCCAATTTAAAACTTGCGCGTATTTTGAGGATTTCTATACCAAATATTGGGCTAGCTCCTTCGTGGACACCAGCCTGCCCAAGGATGCCTGTCCTCTCAAGAAGGGTGAATATTATTTGAAGAATGTTCGATTACGCTCAGACAATATGATGCAATTTGTGAAGCAAGGTTTGAACAGAATTCAGCTTACTGTATCGAAGAATAATATAACTTACGGTGGCTTTAACAGTGTTGTTGAGATAAGGGAAGTTCCTAAATAATGTTTATAAGTATAAACTTGAACAATTTCAATTTGTATTATTTTTTGAGCTTACTTTATCCTTTCAAATGATAATAAAAGGTCGAATTACCACCCAAAAATGTGTACAAACTTTTAAACATGTTTCATTCTTTTAATTAAAGCTTTTTAACTTGTTAAAAACTTAATACAGTTTTACAGAAATCAAATTTAATTATAATTATAGTTTAAAAAATATTTTAAAAAATCGTATATATATTATATAAGATTTGATCATGTATACCTTGTAATTATTGTAGGATTCAGATGGCCAGATAAGTTAAAACTAATTATATATATTTTATATTATTATATATTAATACCTAGATCATTTCTCTTAATTTTAAACTAATAAAATATGAACAAGGTCGCCTAATATTTAACATTTTCAAAGCTCTTCCATGCGGATCGATAACTAAATAGCTTTCGAAATCAATTTGCTTGCTTTCCTCGTACTGCCCCGACACCTTTTATTTTATTTTTGCTCTCAGCTGGTGGTGGCCCGTCTATTTTCTGGGTCATTAGTGGAGGAAAACTATGCAAAATATGCAGACAAATGGCAGTATTAATTATTTAATTCGAACCGATCATAGCGCGTCCGAATTATCCGCTATGTGGCGACGGCAACTTGGTGCTTTGTTCTGACTCTCTAAGGTCGCTGGCGAGTCGTTGACTGCTTGTGATCTTGCTGGCGCCGCATTTTATGACATTTCCCATCAGAGCGCACATATTTTAGTGTCTGTGGATGGATTTTCCTCCCCCCGCTTTTCGTATTTTTTTGTTGTGTATTTTCTTTATTAAAAATAAACGGCATTTGGCCTTTACACGGCACGGCACGTTGACAGCCAGCTCTCAATGTTAGAGGAGAGTGTGGCTGAAAGTGAAAATTTATAAGCCGGCCAGACCTTGCTGCTTGAACTTGTGGCGGCTGTTGTGTCAAAGTGGAGCAATGACTTTGCTGCCACCAATTTGATGACACGTATGCATAAAGATACTCATTCTGGCGGATGCCGAATCATGTTGCTGATGATGCTGCTGGCCCACTTCCGGCGAGACTTGTTTACGTCTAACTGTCCGTTCAGACCCACGTAAACAAAATGCACAGGTGAGTTGTATTTATAGCCAAAATGCGGCCTATTTCGATCGGATTTGGATTCGGATTCGGGGTTCGGATACGGATTGGTGGCGTCAGTGATGCGGCATTTCATCCGCCTGATTTGCGTTGGCTGGTAAATACTTTAATACTTTAATTGGCAGTTCTGCTGGCAGCTGAGTGCCTGAGTGCTTGTTTATTATACAAGAAACATGCTGACTTATTTCTGGCATTTCATTTTCACTTGTCAAAGGCAGAGATGAGGGGTCTATATATATTTCTTTTTTTTTCTTGAGAAAAACCGTTGGAGAGCTGGAAAAGTTTTGTGGCCAACCGCAAAACAATTAAATTTGATTGCCTTTTAAACCCTTTTGAGTGGGGGGTGTTGTTCCAGCGCTCAGGAACGTGCGTTTCTAATCCGTTTCGGGCAAGTTTTCCATCTCGGCACGTACGCTCTGCCACGCCCACACTTGTGCTCTGGGAATCGGTCTGGAGTTTTCCCCTTGCCACCTACAATTCCCTGGGCACTTGGACACCTCAGTCTCAGCCTGAGCCTGAGCGTTAGCTCCTTCTCCTGCTCCAGCCTCAGCTGGGCTGTCATGAGTAGCTGGGAATTTATTTTACCACAAGGACTGGTGTTTTATGTTGCCTCCCCGGTTTTCGGGGATTTGTTTCGGCAGATAACTTTGTTTATTTGCATTCGATTTAACTTAAAGTTCGTTTCATTGATGAAAATTTCGCATTGTTTTAAGGGGAGGATATGCCTCAGCCGATTGGTATGCGAAAATAAATATTTAAACAGTGCCACGTCCAGTTGATGGCGTCATTTCAGCTGAGAGCCGAAAGAGAAAGAGCTTTAAATAGAGGAAAAGTGTGGAAAATATACCCTGAATACTATGTATATGCAACGCCCAAAAGTCGGCCATGCTATTGATAGAATTAAGTGAGAAAAACCCCTCAATACTCTGCGAATTTCCAATTAAAGGGCCGAGTATTTAATTGGTAACTCGATTATGGGAGATACAACTGCTGTTGCCAACCAAGTTACAGAATGAATTTTCCCCCTAAAGGTGAGCCAGGATTTTTACTCCTCTTTATTCGTTGAAAAAGTAGAATTTTCTGGATCATCGGAGGGGTCCTCCATCGATGTCGCATTATTATGCGGCAGCGCGCTACAAATTTGCGAGCTGTAGCTTGAAATAATAGAGCCGGCATGCAATTTGGGGCAACGCAACAGCCATGGCCATAAATTTAATGCAAGACAAACAATATGACGGCTAAGAGGGGGTACAAAAAAATCTCATCAGCGAGAAGAAATATTGAATACAATTTTATTTGCCACACACTGTGTTTGGGCTTGGGCTTGGATTCGAGCTCCCAAGCCGGGTGAATTATGGAAATGCATCATATTATTCTCCAGCTCCTTGCCTGCCGCCTGCTCCTTGCTCAATTTCATCCTCTGCTAAAGGATAGGCGGCTGCAGGATGTGTGAGAGCGTGCGTGTAACTATGCTACTTACTGTCTGCTGTCTGTCTTCCTTTCGCTGGGTGTTTGCTTAAGGGAGTGCACGGGTAAAAAATACCATCATCAGATAATCCAGTTTTCAATTCTGAAGAGTTTAGCATCTGGGGGAAAAATATGAATAAATGGTATAGCATTAGATAACACAAAAGTTATACTAACAAAATGACTTAAATAAGACTTTAATTGTATCTTGGGACATACCCAGTTGATCTTTAAGCTTCTTGTAGGTTAATTAGTTTTTAGTTATATAAAAAATATTTTTAAAAACATTCTATATGAAAGATAAGAGAATATTACTTGTTGATTCCCTCAAAATTCGATTAAGGCAATCACAAAGCTACCATGGCCTCCCGATCAATTATTTTTCAAGTGTACCCCCTGAAAGCCACATGGCCAAAACCGACAACAAAATATATCTAGAAAGAGAGGGAAATCCAAGGAAATCCTATGTATATCTGCCAGGGCGGCCAGAGAATCGCGAAATGGAGCCAGGCGCGATTTTAAGGGCCATCTCCCCAGCAAACACGGGCTTCTCGCCAACCACAGAGTGCAGCATGATAAAAGACGCAGTCATGGCAACCCACCTGCCACTAAATGAGTTACCGTGCAGGTATGAGATGGAAATCCCCCTCGAAAACCCCCTGAAAACCCTCTGAAAACCTGATGTTTGTTTGTTTGGCTTTACCTGTTTACGTGCAGTCATGCGAGACTCCAACCCCAAACCCTACTCCCAGCTGATGCTCCTGGAATGTGCTTCAATTGTTGTCTGTCTCCAAAGGACCTCTACACTCCTCCCTTCCACATATCTCATCAAAATCCAGTTTAAGATTTTTGATTTAATTCAGGTTTTGTTTGCCAAGTCGGTTACTATCTAGAGTTTAGATTTCGTTGCTTGTTTCCGCCCATTCCCAGCGCCCAAAATAAATTTGCTTATGCCCGTCAAAAGGCTGACTCTGGCGGAGACATATGAACATGTGAAGGATCCACTTGGGCTATCTCGCATTTGTCTGCACTATTTGCAGTAGCTGGGCTCAAGAGGAGCCAGTAGCTACTGGCAAACGAAAACCCTATTAAAAGTTACCCAATAAAATGGCTTGAGCTGCAGGTTGCAAATGAATTAAATTTGGGTTTTTAAGAAAATAATAATAAAGGTTTTTGGATACCTTGGATATCCATTAATTTGCTGGCTTAGTTGTAGAAAAAGAGTCAGCAAAAAAAGGAAAACAATGTTTTTTTAGTAAATTTAAATAAGATAAATAACAAAGAAAATTGTAAATTCTAAATTCTAGATAACTTTTATAAATATTTAAGAAATCCTTTAGCATTTTTTTTTATTTTTTAAACAAAATTGCCATATTAAAATTTTTTTGAATAACATTAAACCATTTTTAAACATTTTAAATAATTAAAAAAAATATATAAATCCATATTAAACCATTTTTTTTTTTTTTTCTTTATTTGTTTAATATCCCGACGCTACTTTTAATACTGCGCCTATCTTAAAATGATTAATAATTAAAATTAATACAAAAAAAAGCATTTGTTTTAACAAATTAAACCTTTTCAAACCATTTTAACAAATTTTAAATAATTAAAAATATATTTAACCAATTTAAACCATTTTAAACTGTGCGTTCAATCATCAAATACTTACTATCAATATTTTAAACAATTTTAAAACATTTAAAATAATCTCAAACAATTTTAAATAATTTTAAATTGTGCTTTCATTCATCAAATACTTCTTTTTCAAACGAAAATGAATGCTTTCTCTCTCTGTAAAGGTGAAAATTGTTGTTGAAATTGATTGAAAATCGGCCCGACAGGTAGGCAATGTCAATGGTACTGCCATGGCCAAATCAAATTAAGTACGCTGCATTGGCCAGCAGGAAAATATCCGCAAATGTGCAACAATTTGTGGCCAGAAAAGAGCTTGAAGAGTAAGTGGCAGAACAATAGCTGGCTTGGCACAAATCAAATCACGGCAAATTAGTTGTAATTCAATTGCCGCCGTCTGTGTCCCTGCCAGCCGTCTCCTTCGAACCCGCCACACTTTCCACATGTTTGGGTCCTAATCCCCTTAGGGAGCTGGCGAAAACTTGTTGATACCACAACACCGTTGTATTACTCGGCACACACCTGCCAAGGTGAACGGTCAGCGTCGGCCGGCGGGCACTTCTGCAACTCATAACACCCCGCCAGTCGGGTATGTGTATAGAGGCCACCTCCAGGTGTATCTATGCACTGGCTGACAAATATTTGACGTTTTAGTCTAATTAAATTAGCCGCAACGCCGCTCGGCCCTCGGGAAAGGTATATATTTCCGCGCGTTAGTCGCTGCTTGTAAATTTCCGCAGGTGGCACACGTTCGCGGTTCGTCGCAGTTTCTGCGGGTGTCTCGTCGTGGTTTTTCAGTCACCGAAAAAGTTTAATAGAAATAACTAAGGGAAATATGGAATATTCCATATAAGAATAAATAAAGTAAATCCGTCCGGCAATTGTTGTAGAATATACTGCATATACTATTGCCATACAATTCATATTCTTAGTCCCTCACCTAAGCCGGCCACATGAAATTTCAACGTCCTTTGTGCCAGCGGGTTGAACAATTGCACACGTTTCTGTGTGCCGGAATGCAAGAAGTACGTATCCGTGCGGGCATAAGTGGCTTAAGTGCAGTCCGGGAGCCAGCTGAATTATGTAGTTATACGACGAGTATCTTTCATTCATTGTGCGAGCTCTGTGGCCTCTGTGTGTGCGAGTGCGAGTGCGGGTGCGGAAGTGTGTGTGCAGGACTTTGTGGTCGGTAACGGACTGGAAAGCTCAGCGAGAGAGAGTTGCAATTTTCAACCTGATAAGTTTTTTGGTTTTTATGAACTCTAAAAACTCCATAACTCCCAGGATTGTGATATTTAATTGCTTCAGGAAGGAGACAGGATGATCATAATAATTTCTTTTTAGCTCTTTTTAAGAGAGCTTCCTTTAAATGCTATAGTTTACTTACTTCCTGGTTATGTTCTTAGGATTAAAATGGTTTCTTTAACTCAGAAAAATGACACTTACCCTTTAAATGAATATTAAAATGTGTACATTATATGCTGTCAAAATCCTTTTTATTATATTTTTATATCACAAAACTTGATATTTTAAAGAACTCAACAAATTGTTAAAAACAAGAACCATTTTTAAAGGGTTTCTAATGTGGCATTATGACACTAGCCCTTTAAATTACTAATAAAGCAATATATATAGTCAAAAATGGATTACAATCTTATTAGAATTATGTTTTATTTTAATAAAAATACAAGCTTTTAATGAGCTCAAAAAAGTATTCAGTACAAAAATAAATATTAATAGTTTTTCTGTTAAGGAATTATGACACTCGCCCTTTAAATAGATATTAAAGCAATAATATATTATATATCTGTTTTCAGGCAAGGGCTATAATATCTATTTAAATTTTTATATCAGAAAAATTGAGTTTTTAATGAGTTAAATCAAACATTTTTAAACTGTTCTTGCTATGGGATTATGACACTAGCCCTTAAAATGGAAAATACAGAATTATATGCAGCCTATTATTTTGTATATGCTTAAAATAAGAGTTGTTTTTTAATGAACTCCACACAGTTTTCAATACAAAAGCAGATATTCAAAGTTTTTCAGTGAGGGATTATGACACTTGCCTTTCGATTGGATAAACAAGGGGTAGACATTCCTGTATCTGCGGCCAGGAAAGGGCCATAAATCCATATATACATAACTGATATATAAAAGCACTCCCCTTTCCACAGAGAAGATAAAACCGAATTTATTGTGACATTTTTATGCCCAGGTGTTTATTCCCCCCTTCGCACCCCCAGCAGTTTGCACTTATATTTCTATTAAGTTAATTAAACAATGCAGTGGCAGCAGGAACATCCTTTTGTCCGGTGGAAAACAGGCACCGGAAGTTGTTTTATTTTTTTATTCATATATGACAGCCCTCTCGATGGGTCAGTGTTTCGGTTTTTTGCGGTTCCTTGTGAATATGCAAAGCGCCTGCATTTTTTATGGCGCGGGGGACAAACACTTTTAAATGCATCTGCAGCATCCGTAACCGGATCCGCATCCGCAGGAGCAGAAGCAGGAGCAGAAGCAGGAGCATAAAGCCATTTTAAAGCAAAAGCATGTAGACAGAATGCATTTTTTACTTTTCCCGCGGATTACCGAAAAAAAAGCCTTCTTAAATATTCATTTGGCATTGTTCACACATGCGGAGGGGTGAAAGAGAAGATGAAAAATTGAAATAAAAATAAGTTTCAAGAGGGGTTGGGTGCAAATATTGCTGCGAAATAATTCCTAATGGGAAACCGATTGTTGCTGATGTAAACAAATAAAAATTGCAGGCATCGCAAGGGAAATGCAAGTGCAAAAATCAAATAAGAAAAATCAAAATCAAAACAAAATAAGTGAGAGCAAGTAATTTGTGATTAATAAGTAATAAGTGCTCGCGAAAACGCATTCAGTGTGGCCTTTGGGCTTTGTTCGGAAGCAACACGAGAAATTTCCTAATCAACTCGAAAATTAAATCCAAAACTTAAATCCGGTTGGCACTTAAAAAGGGCTTAGTCGAGAGAGAAAAAACATTTATAAACAGCTTAAATGGAAACTTTTTGCACGCCGGAAACCAGTGACCATAGACCAGAAACCATAAACCAAGACAAAAACCAACAGACAGACGGCGGACGGACACATAACTATAAAGGCAAAATCAACTCGAAAGTTGCATTTGGCCCGGCTTAGTATTGGACTTTTTTTTTGGCTTAGCCATTGTGTGTGTGTGTGTGCATAAATATATGTAAATACCATACAGTTCTCACTAAGCCCCCCGACATGGAGCCGAAGCTGTGAACTCAAAACTTTGAACTCGGCGGAGTTGTGAACCCGTGGACCCAGTACATGGAATATTAATTACGGCCCGGCTTTTTGTTAAGTGAATTTTCTGTAAATCAAAAACCCAGCATGGGCCGCAAAAAGAGGCTGCCAACGGGCGTAAGTAGAAACCGAGAAAAGTATCGCTTTGGTATTAACAGTAACAGTAACAGTAACAGTAACAGTAACAGTAAAAGTAGCAGTAAAAGTAACAGTTAAAGTAACAGCCAGTTGCCACTTAAAGTTAGCTTAGCCTAAACGCCGCATTTCCATGCTGCCGTCGTGGAGCCAGACAATCAGCCCCAGCATCCTCCTCCACTTTGCACTTAATTTTCTTGTATGTTTATTTTTTATTTATTTGCAATTCCGCATACACGGCTTCCCGCCATGTCTACACACACGCGCATATTCACACACTCACCTGTCCCTTGTCTGTTTAAAATATGCCAGGTATCGTCTGGTGGCAACAACACCGCCGCCCCCAAAACGGTGGGCGGGTTCTGTGTGCCGCTGGGATTACCGCAACCTTTGCTGCTCGAGGAGAAGAAGTTCCTGCTGGCGGTGGAGCGCGGCGATATGCCAAACGTGCGCAGGTGAGTGTGATACCTTTTATGCCTTCGATACACACACCTCTGGCAGCCAGCAGCTGGTGGGGGAGTATGGGATATTTTGGTTTTTTAAAGTGGATTTTTTTGAATTGAAAAAGGAAGAAAATTACTGTAGAAGAAACACCCTAAAATTTAAGGTAGTTTTTTATTTGTCAACCAATAAATTACTTTAAAATCTAGGAATTGTCCTTATTTTTTAATTAACAATTTTTTAAAGGGTATTTCAAGTTCCATTCACCCAGTCTCCAGGGAAAACTTCAGGTGTTGACTGGGTTGGGCCGCTGGTTGGCATAAATCCCTTTGGGAGGCACCTTCGGGCTTCGGTTTGGTCCTGGTCTTGGGTGGGGCTTGGTGTTGGAGCTGGTCCTGGGTGGTTTCAATTATTTGCTCAGTCGCCCGCCACTGCCTGCGGGCCTCAAATGGTTACCTAACTTGTTTCTTACATGCCACTTAATAAGCAATATGAGGGCGCTGCTCTTCACACTGCCCTACCTCTGTTACTTTCAGCTCGTTTACGGCTTTACTTTAATAAATTCACAATTAATTTCGTTTGCAGGGAATGAATATGAAACAAGAATTTCAGTAACTCATCGAAAATTAGCTCATGAACTTCTTAAAAGGTGAAGGGAAATACAAGTCTAAAGTAAATTTAAAAAAAATGAAAATAATGGTGCCCAAAAATAGGCTTTAAAAACATCAACTTAATTTTAAATGTTTACAAATTTTAAAAAGACTTTAAATTTATTTAAAAGTTACTAATTCCTAACTCACAAATCAGAGTTCCCACAATAAACTCGCTTTAACTTTTTGGTCGACCAGCGTGGCTGTCGTTTATGAACAATTTTTTATTGTTTTCATAATAGGGGGGACGGATTGGCTACGAACAAATGTTTGGTGTCCGATGGTGTTGTCCAGGCTCTTGGTGCTACTCCGGTTCTCTACGCCGTTTATGTTTGGGGGAGGCATGCATGGTGGTGTCGCCACAAGCTCGCATCTTGTGGGTAATGGTGTATAGGTTCTATCTCTAGTTCTGAATTCAATTCTGATAGGAATGCTGATGCTGATGCTGAGGCTAATGCTAGGGCTAACTTCGGTTACGTGGACGGGCGATGCCATGTGGATGGGAATGTGGTGGCGATGGTGTTTTCTGACGATACGGGGACACTTAAAAGTTGATGAAACGATACGGATTGTAGCTTTTCATCTCATCCAGTGTGTAGCGGTAGACGGTCTTCGAGGGCTCCTCGTCGGAGCCAGTCGAGCCGTCGTCCGCTTGGATCTTGTTCAGGCAAATGCCCTTCAGCTGGCAGGCGCGACGGTACAGCTGCTCCTCACGATCCATGTAGAACTGGCACGAGACGGGGGGATTCGGAATGGCCGCAGGATGATGGGCTATTGGATGATGGGCCCCGAACGCAGCCCCGCCAGCGCCATAGCCGAACCAGTTGTTGGCCAGACCTCCGCCGGCCCCCAACTTCACCGTTTGGGTCTCTGCGATGTCCAAGGTCAGCGGAGAGATAACTTAACTGGAGAATCCACGCCACTTACCCTTGTTCTTCTGGGCCATTTTGATGACCAACCCTTGACCCTCGGCGGCTTCCATTTGGTATAGATTTAGCGGAATCGGTGGGGTTAACGTACAATTTAATCGCCAAATGTTGGGAGTCGCGTCTTGAAATGCGAATTCCGGTTCCGGTTCTTTGAATTTTGTACAACAATTTATGTTGACGAACGAGCGCTACCTGAACTGAAAGTTATCTTTTTTTTCGCCCCTTACTGACTGGCAAATAATGACAGCACCTAATGTGAAACACACTGCGCCAACTAGATTTATATTTGATTTGTTTTTCCCTAGTTTTTCTCCAGGGTTGCTATATAATAATGATCCTGCTTCTTTGCTTTTTGGCAGTCTCGAGGAAAAAACAAACATTGGCTCGATATGAGATTTCCCTTTTTCTGGCAGCCCATTGATTGGCAAAGTTTTTTGTTGGCCGCGGCCTCGCGCGATGTAATTAGAAACTTTGGCTTCAACTTTTTATTTGACAGAAAATGGTGGAGGTGGAGGAGACCCTGCACCCGAAATGAGCAGAAAAAGTAAAAGTTTTCCGGTGGAAACTTGCTTAAATTAGCCCAGAGCCTAGCCCACTTTATTAAGTAAATTCCAATAATTGCCATGTACTGGTCCAATTTTCTCTGTTCTCCTCCTTTAGGATTCTGCAGAAGGCGCTGCGCCATCAGCACATCAACATCAACTGCATGGACCCCTTGGGCCGGAGGGCTCTCACCCTGGCGATAGACAACGAGAACCTGGAGATGGTCGAGCTGCTTGTCATCATGGGTGTGGAGACAAAGGATGCCCTGCTGCATGCCATCAATGCGGAGTTCGTTGAGGCCGTGGAACTCCTGCTCGAGCACGAGGAGCTAATCTACAAGGAGGGCGAGCTCTATGTAAGTTACACTCTCACTTGGCACCTGCAGAAATAGTCTGCGGGGTTTTATTATCCTTTGAAAATGGGCCTTAATAGTAGTGAGAGAGGCAATCCTGGAAGAAAAATAAGAAAAATTATAAAATTGGATTTTAGTTGTAGAAATTGTTGGTTACTTTTGAATCTTCATTTTATGATTATTTATTAAGAGTGTCTAAGTTATTAGAATTGGTTTTGTGTTAAATTCTGGCTTAATTTTTAGGCGAAAATAAGTGTTTATAATTAAATTTAATATCGGTTTTATTTTATAAGAGAAAATATTTTTTAAGATGAACTATTTTAGAGTTTTCCTCTCACAGGCTTTCTCCAAGAATTTTGATAAAAAATAAAAGGGATAAAGGCTTTTATTATTATTAAATAAGTTAACCTTAACGTTTCACATATTTAATTTAGGGTTTTATTACTCAAATAAGTATATATAATTTTTTCTGTGTGTATCCTGGCCATTGTCTGCTGTGCTCAGCTAATTTGTGGCCCACTTCATCGGGCCGTAGGCGGCTTAGGCCGGTAAGTTGAAGCTAACACGATTTTAATCAGTTTCCGTGTGAGGCGGGCGTTGGCTGTTTGGAATGTTTGGAGTGCCTCGAGGAGTGCCAGGAGTGCCAGAAGTAGCTGGAGTATCTAGAGTGGGAGCCACCCATTGGGATCATCTTCGCCATTGGGCACGTACACGCAGCATCTCAGGGCTCGAGTGATTGGGAGTGTGCGATAAGCGGCCAACGACCAAGGACCCTCGTTCCTCCCCGTCGCACTCTTCTCCTCCTGGCAAATATAGTCGTCTGGGCCTTCAGTTCAACCTCCTCCTGCCTGCTCATATTTATGCACACGGGCACGCTTCATTAGGCAGCCATTGGGCGCTGTTGAAGCGTGAAAATTACTATTGTAGCGCATATGCAATAAAACGTTTAACAGGCTTAATAACATCTACAAATGATGAAGACAACCGAGTGGATATAAGTGGGTCATTGGACGGATTTTGTAAGGTTTGCTGTCTGTTCTTTAAGGGAAGTTAGTCACCGAGATTTATATTATTCGAAGGATAAGCATTCCAAAAGATTGGAAAAATATGTTATAGATTTAGTTTCATAGACAATTACTTCTCAAAAACATGTTTATTGTGTTTATGTATATATTATAACATTTTTACAAAGTACATTTTTTAAGTACCATTCTTTCGGCTCTTCCTTTTCGCTTCTATATAATATTTTACTGACATTTCCCACAGAGTTGGCAGAAAGTAGACATTAATACGGCAATGTTTGCTCCGGATATTACACCCCTGATGTTGGCCGCTCACAAAAACAATTTCGAAATCCTGCGAATTCTGCTAGATCGCGGAGCAGCTGTTCCCGTTCCACATGATATACGGTATAATCAAAATTATATCTATACCTCCTTAAATTCTTACAAAAGTATAATTCTCTCCCGTAGTTGCGGTTGTGAGGAGTGCGTCCGCCTGACCGCGGAGGATTCCCTGCGGCACTCCCTCTCTCGGGTTAATATATACCGAGCTCTGTGCAGTCCCTCGCTGATCTGCCTTACCTCCAATGACCCCATACTCACCGCCTTCCAGCTGTCCTGGGAGCTCCGGAATCTGGCCTTGACCGAGCAGGAGTGCAAGTCGGAGTACATGGAGCTGCGGCGCCAGTGCCAGAAGTTCGCCGTGGACCTCCTAGATCAGACACGCACCTCCAACGAGCTGGCCATCATCTTGAACTACGATCCGCAGATGTCTAGCTATGAGCCCGGCGACCGGATGAGTCTCACGCGGCTGGTTCAGGCCATTTCCTACAAGCAAAAAAAGGTATTCGCAGGAGCTAAATTTCTCATTTCTCATATGTTTCCTATTGGCAGTTCGTGGCGCACTCGAATATTCAGCAATTACTGTCCTCGATTTGGTATGACGGCCTGCCAGGATTCCGGCGAAAGAGCATCGTGGACAAAATCCTGTGCATCAGCCAGGTGGCAGTCCTGTTCCCGCTGTACTGCCTCATCTATATGTTCGCCCCCAATTGCAGGACGGGCCAGTTGATGCGCAAGCCCTTTATGAAATTCCTCGTCCATGCCTCGTCCTATTTGTTCTTCCTGTGTGAGTATGTCGGGCGAGGGAGGTGCTTAAAGCAAACAATTTAAGCTTGGATTAAGATGATTTCTTCTGAAAGAATGAAGTGGAGGAAAGGATACTCTACGGAAGGGAGTAGCCTTTAGGTAGATTATTTAATAAAATTAGAGCTCTAGGGAAAGAAGTTCATGAACCAAAAACATTTTAAGGAAAAGTATTGACCCGCTTAACTTCCAATTGAAAACACTAACAAAACTTTAATAATAATTCAGAAAAGACACATTTGTCCCCGGTCACAGGGTACAAATAACTTTCCCCCATAAAGATTCTATCCCTCAGGCATGAAGCTCCTTCCAGAAATAATGACATACCAACCTGGGAGACCGCCACTCATTGTTGTTTGCTTTGCAGTCATCTTAATTCTGGTCTCCCAACGGGCGGACGATGACTTTGTGCGCATCTTCGGCACGGCCAGGATGAAGAAGGAGCTGGCCGAGCAGGAGCTGCGTCAGCGTGGCCAGGCGCCCACCAAGCTGGAGCTGGTCGTTGTCCTCTATGTGATTGGCTTTATGTGGGAGGAGGTGCAGGAGATATTTGCCGTTGGCATGAAGAGTTATTTGCGGAACATGTGGAACTTTATCGACTTTCTGCGCAACACTCTCTACGTGAGTGTCATGTGTTTGAGGTGAGTCACAGATGCTGCTAAAGAAATCAAAGGAAACTGAGAGAGATCTCTTCCAGAGCCTTTGCCTACATCCAACAGGCCACGGAAATAGCCAGGGATCCGCAGATGGCTTACATACCCCGCGAAAAGTGGCACGACTTTGATCCGCAGCTCATTGCCGAAGGACTCTTTGCGGCGGCCAATGTCTTTTCGGCCCTCAAGTTGGTCCACCTGTTTAGCATCAACCCACACCTGGGTCCGCTGCAGATCTCTCTTGGAAGGATGGTCATCGACATTGTCAAGTTCTTCTTCATCTACACCTTGGTACTGTTCGCCTTCGCCTGTGGCCTGAACCAGCTGCTCTGGTACTTTGCGGCCCTGGAGAAGAGCAAGTGCTATGTGCTGCCCGGTGGAGAGGCGGACTGGGGTTCGCACGGCGACTCCTGCATGAAGTGGCGTCGCTTTGGCAAGTAAGTCCAGTCAGCAGGGCAATTATACCCGGACAGCTGGCCACTCATTGGACTAATTCTTTACTCTCACTGCCAGTCTGTTCGAGTCCTCGCAGTCGCTGTTCTGGGCCAGCTTCGGGATGGTCGGACTGGACGACTTCGAGCTGAGCGGTATTAAGTCGTACACGCGCTTCTGGGGCCTGCTTATGTTCGGCTCGTACAGCGTCATCAACGTGATTGTGCTGCTGAATCTGCTCATCGCCATGATGTCCAACTCGTACGCCATGATTGATGTGAGTTGCTTTAGTTGAGTCTCTGTTTTGGTTACCCTTTGAAGCGACCTTTCAGGAGCACTCGGACACCGAGTGGAAGTTCGCCCGCACCAAGCTGTGGATGAGTTACTTCGAGGACAGCGCCACCCTGCCGCCGCCTTTTAATGTCCTGCCCTCGGTGAAGTGGCTCATCAGGATGTTCCGCAAGTCCAGCAAGGCCATCGATCGCCAGCGCTCCAAGGTGAGTCTGCTTGTTACTTATTTCACATGAAACAGAAACCGACACCTTGGTTTCAATCTCAGCAGAAGAGGCAGGAGCAGGAGCAATTCAACAAGTACGACAACATTATGAGATCCCTGGTCTGGCGATATGTGGCTGCCATGCATCGCAAGTTTGAAAATAATCCCGTCTCCGAGGATGACATCAATGAGGTCAAGAGCGAAATCAACACAATGCGCTACGAGATGCTGGAGATCTTCGAAAACAGTGGCATGGATGTCTCCTCAGCCAACAAAAAGGAAAGGCGTAAGTGGAGATATCACTCTTAAGGAGAGGTTAATCCTTGAATCATTTCAGAGCCGCGACCACGACGCATCAAGGTCTGGGAACGGCGTCTGATGAAGGGCTTCCAGGTGGCGCCAGTGCAGAACAACTGCGAACAGGATGCCTTTGGAAATGTCAATGGACAGGGCGAAATGCGGGAGATCAAGGTGGAATCTATACCCTCCAAGCCAGCTAAGGAGACAGCCAAAGAACGCTTCCAGCGGGTGGCACGCACAGTGCTGCTCCAGTCCACGGCCCACAAGTGGAACGTGGTGCTTCGAGCTGCGCAGGACTCGCAGATAGGACGCTGCACCAAGGAAGAGCGCAAAAGCCTGCAGCATTTGGGAAGAGCCATCGAGGAGGCCAAGAGGTGGGCATGTACATATCTTAGTATCCTAAAACTACCTTCATTTTCACTCCCTTCTTTCCCAGACTCATCCTGCTCAATCCGGGCTGTGCTTCCGGCCGGGAGTCGCCCATACGCATTGAGTTTGAGGATGAGAAGACCAGCACCTTACTAGAGCTGCTCAACCAAATCAGTGCAGAAATCAGCGACAACGAGAGACCTAGGAACAAGCCCACCTGGCGGCCTCCATTGAGAACAGTTCCTGCTCGGGCCATGGCGGCCAACAACACCAGATCTCTGACAGCTCCCGAGCTGAAGTTTGTTAGCCGGAAAGCCTCGCCAGCCCCCACTCCGGGCGCCAGTCCCAAACAGAATCGGGTGTCCCAGCTGGCCAGGTCACGGGAGCTGCTCTTGTGTCCTAGCAAACTGATAGCCACCTCGGGAGCTGGTCCAAGCACTTCCAATGCTGCCTCAGCTGCTGCTCCTCAACCCAAAAAAGCGGCACCTACAGCTCCAAGTGCTGCTCCTCCGCCAGTTTACAAGCCCTCCTCGAGGCCGGCACCCTTCTCCGTGGAGAGTCGCCTCCGGGGAAATGGTGTGCCTACCGGTAATTCCGGCTACGACATACACGTGGTGGATCTGAACGAGAAGGCTGCTGCGGGGACCAAGGATAATGTCTCCGATATAAGCTCCATTGCCAGCACGAGTCCCCAGCGGCCAAGGCATCGAAACTAAATGTGATTGTGGCATGGATACCGGCGATAAGTCTCCATTGATGCCTTCCAGAAAGCTATAACCTGTATTTATCTACAAAACAAGGAATAAAACTATTTAGGTAAATTAAGGACGAAGGCCTCTTATTAATGCAGATATCCCAGAGCTTAACTTTAGCTCAGCTTTCGTCTTGAATTTCCTTAAAATAGAGTCTGCGTCTGCCTTAAAACCATTTACATATAGCCAATGAAGCATCCGCAGACATGACGGACCCTCGGGGGTTTAACGTATTTTTTTCCTTCGTATTTTCTAGGGGGAAAGCGTGCGTAAAGTCGTCAGCCGGAAGCATCAAAGGCAATTGAGACACAAACATAAACAAGTCTTCCCCGGCTAAACGGTGCTTTTAAGGGCAAAACGAAGGCAAAAAAAACGAAAAAAGAATTATAAATTCAATTTGATGTCATATCAATTGATTTTGTGCTACATCTTTTTGCCGCTTGGCCTGGCGTTCCGGTGCTGCTGACAACAACTCCTGACATCGTGACTTTCTAGAGGGCTTTATACTATGCTTTATACCCGTGTATATATGGATTTTCCAAGGGGAGGGGGATGGAGAAAGGTTGCTGTTTGTGGTCCTTGGCCGAGTTGGGGCTGCGGCTGGCATTTGATTTTGATGACGCGTGGCACTTTGAAATTTATGCGCCACTCCGGGCACACTTTGTATGCGCCCAATGCCTCGGAAAGATGATGAACGTTCGAAGTTTCGGGACGTGAGTGTGTGTGGTGTGTGTCTCCTCACGGGGACAATGTTTAGCCTTAGCCTGGGTAAAGTCTGTTACTGCTTTGCATGATGAAACTCGATGCCAGGTATCATGATTATTATGCCATGGGCTCCCCCATTTTTTCTTTGGCGGAAACATTTTCGGGGCAGGATGTTCTTAGGTGGAATTAAGATAAATATAAATGCCATTTTCCCTTGGATTTTTATGGCCGCCATAATATATGCTAATGTGATTAGGTTACACATAATTCAGGAGCTGCAACTTTGGCTGAAAAAAGTGGCCCAACTTTATCAAAATTAGTCTGGACATGTCCAGGCCTTCGTTACCTTCGTTATTTGATATTTAGCAAACATTTGGCAATGCCAGAAACGTTTTCGGTTCGGTATCCAATTACCTTGAGAGCAGAGAAATTTCCAAACTTCCAAAAATTCCAAAAATTCCGTTTATTTACACAAATTCTGTTGAATTTCAGACAACATACGAGTTCCCATTATTTCGCTAGGCAGACAAATGTACACAGAGATGGGCTAGTTTTTTGTTTTGGGTTAATTACACAGTACACTTATCTTAGGATGACTCAAGCTTTTCGATTGTAGATTAGGTTGGATTAGAGGATTTTGAGGAGAAGCCTGCAGCATTATCCCTCCCTGCGGGCCAGCTTCAGTCGCACGGCAATGCGCTTGCACTTCCACATGAGCTGCGTCTCCAGGATGCTAAAGGACATGGCCACCAGGACCAAACCCAGCAGCAGATAAGCGCAGCAGGCATATAGCTGCAGCTCTGGTCCATTGAAGCTCCTGGCGGGCACAAAGTCACCATAGCCGATTGTCGAGAGGGTTACGAAGCAAAAGTAGGCTCCGTCCACCAGCGACCAGTTCTCCCACAGCGCAAAGATCACGGTGCCCACGCAGATGTAGCACATAAGGATGAGCAGCACCAGGCTGATGGGCACCTGCCGCTCCGCCTCCTCGCCCTCGTCCTCGGAGTCGTCTGCCGCCTCGCGGCAGTCCTCTGACTCGCTGGCGCAGTGGTAGCGCAGCTTCTTCAGCACAAACTGCTCGCTGCCGTGCTGCATGTACTCCTCGTCGTCAGAGGTCTCCGTATTGTTGGCCGTGCTGTCGTAGAGCGTTCCAGAGGCATGCCGCTGGCAGCGACGCGTCAGCAGCAGGGTCTTCCGGTTCAGCGGCTGCATGGAGTGCCGATTAAAGCCAGCGGCGGCTCCGGCGGAGGCCGAACGGGAGTGGTTACCAAGGCTGGACTTTTCGCCAGAGTCCTGGGGCACGCTCAGCGGACTGGCTATCAGCGGGACTCGGGAGGGCGTGCCGTGCGGGCAGTTGCTGTAAAATAATAAGAAAAAAGAACATGGATGGACAATAAATATTTATGCGGGAGCTGACCATAAAATAAATCAATTAGGCATAAAAAGCAAACCCCAAAGCAACCTCAGGCCATAAAATCGAAATAGCTGCTGCTCATGGTTCTGGCCAATCAATAAGGCATAAAACTGACGGTGCGTATACGTGTTTTGTTGGTGGTCAGGAGGGATACAGGGCGTATGCGTTATATAGGGATAACTAAGCGGGGAAGTACTGGGATTAAAAGTGGAAAGAGAATGGAGAGTTTTGAACTAAGTTTATACAATTTTAGCTTATATTTTAGTGAACAATTTATAAGTTTCTTGTTTTAATAAGAATTTAAAGCTATAAACCAAAGCTTCTCAGGTAGTTAAGTCCAATTTTAACTCCCAAATTCCAAGCAATTCAGCAAGTCACAAATCCCAAACTGACTCAGATTTGATTGACAATCGAAATACCTCTTGGATTGCAGCGAACGAGGGTCTCGACAACCTGCAACAGTGCTCCAGCCACAGCAACGGCACTCTCAATCCCTCGAGTTCACTCTGTCAAACCAATTTGCCGAACATTTATTGAACTTGGCCGGCCAACAGACTCTCGGGAGACTTGTGCCTCTCAGCTAGGAGCTCTCGGCTGGGCAAACACCGCCTCGAGTTGCACTTGAGGAGCGATTGGCTGGGCCCGGAAACTACTTCCGATTTTGGGGCCAGCGATCAATAAGGACAACAACACGTTTGCACATATTTACCTAAGACAAGAAGGGCTGACGGGGAAAAGTAAAGGAGCAGCAGCAGTCGAGATTAATTGACCCGATTCATTGCGAGTGAGTGCGCAGCTCGGCTTACAATTAATTACAGACAAGGCTGAAAATGAAGAGGGTATATACTATACATATCTGTATACTATATACAAGAGTATATAGCCCGCGACGCGTGCCCAGGTTCACTGTCAAAATTAATTACCAGATGCTATCGCCACTGCGTTTTTATTAAATAAAATTCTCAAAATGTGCGCTCAAAAAAGCGAAGGAAAACCATCCCTCTTTCCATCCCGCCCCACCATCATCAGTGGCTGGCTCTCGGCACTCTGGCAGAAAATGGCACAGCGAAGGGCAAGGGTGAGCGGTGAAGTGGAGCAGAGTGGAGACAACCACCGCAGCGGGGGGGAGGACAGCCACCGCAAGGCTGTTGGAGGGGAGCAAAGGCCTGCAGTGTGCATCATGCAGATACTGAAGTGTGGATTTAAAGCGCGGCTGACAGCAAAAAGTTTGTTAATAGGATTAAATTAAGGTTCCGGCTTAAAGATTCACCTAAACCCTGTAATACACACCTCAAACGCTCTCTCTCCTGCTCATCCTCGTCCTCCATGATGTCCACCGTGCCCGTGGAATTGGCGCTCAACAGGGCAGACAGTGTGGCCGCTGCCGAGGAGGCCTGGGTTGCAGTGGCTCCTGGCTGTGCTGTGGATGCTGCTCCTCCACAAACACCTGCAGCCATAAAACTGTTATCGGACAGTGTGGCACCTACTCCTGTTCCCCGGCCCGTGGCCATGGTGGGTGCTGCTCCTGCTCCTCCAGCCTTAATGCCTGCTGACAGTTGTGGGCTTGTTGCTGCGGCCGTGTAGGTTAACAATGGTGTTGCTGCCGCTGTTGCTGCTCCTGTGGCTGCTGGCAATAAATCATGCCTGCCGGATAAATCCGTCGATCCCGCACCCGTTCCACAATCCATAAGCGCATTGATCTCGTGTGGCAGCGGTTTCGTCACAAACTTGGCCCGCCGCACAGCTGCAATGGAAACGAAATTGAGCGGGGGGAAAAAGGTTAACTTTAATTATCAATGTTAGGTATAAAAATACTTTTCAATAATAACATTAACCAGAAAACATAGCTCGGCCCTACAAAAAAAAAAAAATAAATAAAAGTTTCCGCACAAATTGGCAAAACAACTTCCGCCAGCTGCCACACACGGTTAGATTATCCCGTTAGCCCGTTAGTTCCGCCGGAAGTGGCAGTGGCAGCAGCGGAAGGAGCCAAAACAGCGCGGGGGAAAAGTGTGGGGAAAAACCGAAAAAGTTGTGCATTTAGCCAGAATGACACAGGACTGCACTGCCGGCTCTGTGTTGGGAAAATGATTTGCTTTGCATTTTACCAAAGTTCGCCGAACAAAATGCAACAATGTGGCGGACGAAGCGTTCCGGATTCCCATTCCTATTCCCATTCCAAAAACGTAAAAGTTTGGCGTTAACTTTCATTAGCGGCTGCCAGTGGCAGTGAGTGGAGTCGGGATGTCGGGTTGTCGGGTTGTCAGGGGGCATTAAACCATCTGGCAAAGGGCCACAGTGCACCGAGCACAGTGGGCAATTATTGTTGGAGGGCACAACACATACCCACTAAATGCACTAAATTATTCAGAGGATTTCTGGATAAAAATGGATAGAATTACGAAATTACTGCAATTAGAGGGGGTCAAGGAGTTGTGCCACTTAAAGACAACCTTCTGCTACTTTAAGTATATTAAAGAAGGTATAGAAGATAAGTATTTTAAAGCAGGTGATGTGTGACTTTAAGGATAATTTCGTCGACTTAAAATCAGACATAGTTCCAAACTTAGGAGTCTAGTAGAACCTACCAGAAATAAAATTTGATTATAATAATTTTTTTAGCGCATTTAAGGATGAAAATGTCAAAAAATTACAACAATTCTTGTATGTGGAGGGTCAAGAAGTTGTGCTTATTATGCACAACCTTCTGCTACTTTCCAACTCTTTAATAATTCCTTAAATAATATAAAAAATTGTATTAAGAAATTAAAACTTAAACCATAGCAGAACCTAAAAGGAATACATTTTGATTTAAATATTATTCAAGTGGAAGATTACTTTATGGCAGATTTCTTTTATGGAAAATATAAAGTCCCACATATAGTTTTCCTTTAAATATTTTTGAATTTATGCCACCTTTTCATTATACAAAAATAAGGTAACAAATTTCTACTTCAAATATTCAATTTCTGTTGTTAAATGGAGTTACTTTAAGTAGTTAATAATTATTTTAAAGCTCAATGCAGCTCATAATGTGTAACTTCCACTGTTCAAAACTCATAGTTCAACCCTCTAGCCACCGTGGAAACGGAAGGAAGCGCTCGTCTTTCACATTGGAGCTGTCGACAGGACACTGGTGTAACGCGGAGTATACTCCGCTATGGCGTGGTCTGCTCCGGACATGGCCAATTTGAAAATATTTACTTAAACTTGGACACCACACTGAGGGAACGGGGTGGCAGTGAGTACACAAAGACATTCATTAGTGTGCAGGGACATATAGTGTTTAGTGCTTTATTCCACATATTCTACTATATATATGTCATACGTTGCAGCAACTTTGACAGTGCTTTAATGGTGCGGTGTACCACGGTTTCGGACTCCGACTCTGTGCTGCTTTTTGGGAGCTCTGTGTGCTGCGGGTGTCAGTGGCAGACAATTAACATGCATAATGAAATCAATTCGGGGGAGAGTGCGACAAATGGCCAAGTCCCAGGCTACGAAATCTTTGGACAAAGCAAGTCACGTGCCGCCGCCTTAACGACAAGCAACCGTTAACTTTAATGAGTTTTGCATGCGTTGCACAAGCCGAGGAGAGCCGAGAAAGCTGCCAGGTCCTGTCTCCTTTATGCCAAGTCATCATTATCGTCAATAAAACTGTCGCACATGTCGAAAGTTGCCTCAAGTGCATGTTGTCCTTGTGCTTACTGCTCTTGGTTGTCCTGGCATGTCAAGCAGCACAAGTTGAAAAGTTTTAATGCCCTCCCGCCGCCGCCGCCCTCTTGGCTGAAGTACGTCTGCTTAACTCTGTCATTTTAACACGCCGCTGGTTCCGCCATCGCCACAGCCTGCAAGCTGCTGCTCCTGATGATGACGACGACGACGACGACGATGATGTTGCCATTGCCGCCCAAATTGTTATATAATTGAAAGCGTAAATGAGGGCCGGGGAGAGGGCAAGAGAGTGGCGGTGACGACAACAGGGCGTATGATTGATTGATTACAGTTCGGTTTTGTTTCGGAACTCAGGTTAAGCCAATGCTGTCAGCAGAACATTTTCGGTAGGAGGCCCAAATTGTTCATCCAATTAAATTCAATTTTCCTTTGTTCAATTTATGCATATTTACCGCCACACCACCACTATCATTAGCACACATTAACAATTCAAAATTATTGCCAAATTGAATTAAGTCATTTGCGGACATAGCTGAATGTTTCAGTATGTTAATTTGAGATTCATTTCTTTTATTACAAAATACTAACTAAAATATAAAACCTTTAGAAATAATAAATAACTTCCTGAACATAAATTAAAAACTCCCTTTTGACAGCCCATCGTCATATTGTTTTCCCCGGAAAAACAGCAATAAAAATAACCTTTTTCAACACTCACCAGGCACATTCCCCGTCTGATAGGCCGGCGGCGGTGGCAATGTGATGGCTTCCAAAGTCGCGGCTTCCGCGGATGGATCCTGAAGTCCAGAGGCCAGCACTCGATGCTTGCCGGAAGCGGGCTGCAAGTGTATCGTATGATACTTGACCAGCGGCTGTTGACCAAGTGCTGTCCCCGATGCCGTTGCATTTCCCATGGTATTGGCCATCGTTGGATTCGCAGCCAGATGATGGCCATGGGCCAGGGTGTGGGTGTGGGCATGGGCGGGACTGCCGGGTGCGGAGGGGGCAAACGGAAAGTAAATCGTGGCAGTCGCGGGCGCATAACAATTGGGCGGCACTGTCAGCGGCATTCGCAGCATGCTGCTGGGCACAGCAACGAAATTCTGTTGCAGTTGCTGGTGTTGCTGCTGCTGCTGCAGCTGATGGTGTTGGCGCGGGAGAGTTGCTGTCGATAATTGCTGTTGCTGCTGCTGCGGTGCGTATTTCAGCAATGCGCTGCCCGTTGTCGTTGTCATTAGCATGACATCCGGCTGTTGCTGCTGCTGTGGCTGCAACTGCAACTGCTGCTGCTGCTGCTGGTAGAACTGCTGCTGCTGATTCAAGTTGCGCAACAATTGACAGGCATCTGCTGACCACACGGCATGTCAGGGCACAAAAGAAAACGTACAGAGACATGTTAAAGATGATTAACGACTTGCAATTGTGCTGACAATACAATTAGCATGCGAACAATGGCCGCAGCAGCCCCCTCACTCACCTTCCCCCTTGTCTGGAGGTAGTTTTCCCTTCTGGCCATATTCGAGGCAGTCGTTGAGGCTCGTTTCACTGTTGGCCGCATCGTATCTGCAGCCCTTGCAATTAGCCTGAAGAGGTGGAAAAGAAGGGGAGTATTCAGCCATCATTAAATAAGACTTTTTAAATGTTTAAATTAAATTAAAGTTAAAGGTAAAGTAAAGACATTTCATTTCAAATTTAGAGTCTCTCAGCACATTTCCCCCAACCCTGTTCTATGACCAATCAAAGTTTAATTCCCAGCTATCATCGTAGTAAACTTCTAAGCCTTTCCTTATGTAATTTCTTGGGCGTACACTGCGGCTACTTGACGTGACATGGGGGCATGTCAATAAAACACGCAATTTGCATGCTCAATCCCGGGCTTTCTTGGGGGCCCAAAACTGATGTCATCAAGCTCGTGGTTCGCCCTGGAAAGCTGTTTGCGGCCAGAGAGACCAAGCCGGGCGTATATCGTGTGCGTTGCGGTTTTGCGGCATCATCATCAAATGCCATGGCAAATCTAATGGACACTCACGCAAACGGGCGAGGGAAATACCAAATGCGAAATGCGAAATGGATACCGACTCCTCTCCCAGCTAGACTTGCGGTCTGAGCCCCCGTTACGGCATGTGTGTGCGCCATGATAATTGCAAAAGACGATGCCAAAGGCCAAATTGCCGGAATGCCGAAAGCCAAAAGGCCAAAAGCCAAAGCCGAAATGGCACCAGTCAACACGAGGGCGATAATAATTCAACCCATGACTGGACATCCCTAGAGCCGTTCGCAATCTGCCGACAGGCCGCCTTATCAATTGCCAGCCGCATCCTTGTGGTCCTTATGCGGCAAGCAGGCCCTTGGGTCCTCCAGCAAGATTGGATCCAGGGCCCTAATGAGTTGTTGAATGCAACAACAGTCGAAACAAGCCATCACAATCCCCCACATCCTCATAGCCACAGCAAATCCCAGCCTAGGCCAAATGCAAAAATCCTGTTCAACAAGTCGCAGCAGCTGGTTTGATGTCCTGAAAGCAATGCCATGCTCCCTCGACTGCCATCGAACACGGCAAGTAGATTACTCCATTCGAGCGTGGAGAATGCGCAAAAGTTTTTAGTTTCCTTCGTGCTGCAGCTTCGATTTCGCGCCACGTGATATCTGAGTGGCCGGCATCCGAATCAATTAGGGCCAAAAGTGCCGGAAATGAGAAGTTATTGCATGCCCTCGGAGTGCAAACTTTACCACCGCGCCGCCTTAAAGTGGCTCGCACTCATTTCAATTTACTTGGCACGAACAGAGGAGAGTCCGGGAAAAAAATTAAATTTATGCCGCCGCCATTGCCCTTTTGACCCGACTCAAACTGCCAACTAAAGTTTTCGCAACTCTTAAAGTGTCGAAACGTGGGGCAGCAGCAGGGCGGAGCTCTTAAAGAGTCCACTTTTCAAGTTTGACGCTGGCGATGGACAAAGTTGGCGAGGAGTTCATTAAAAGTGTCGAGCGGAGTTTGCTTGCATAGAGTGTCCAGCCAGTAAATGTTAATTTATGAAATGAATTTTTTGTTGCGATGCGAATGACAAACAGGCGAACGAACTGGGCCCTGGGCCACCGCAAAATCACTTATTTATTTATTGAATCCTCGTCTGTCGCCATAAATTGCCAATTAAACAGAAATTTGTGCAAGCAAAACAAACAGCAGGACGAGTGGCAGCAAAAAAAGCAGCGAAAGCCAAACAAACCGATTCACTCTTATTTTTTTCCATCACTTTTAAAGCTTTAAAAAAACATGGAAAAGCTGGAACAGGACGAAAGCAGAAATGTCATTACAGGGAGGCCAGCAAATCACTTACAAAACTTATGCACGAATGCACAAAACACGCAAACAAATAAATACAAACACAAATAGGAAACAAGGAAAGGCTTCGAGTCAGAGTTTTGATATCCTAAAAAATTATTTATAATGTATACAGCGCCAGAGCAAATAAAAAACGCAATAAACCAGGGGAAAAACAGAACGTGAAACCGACCCCGAAACCGGACGGAAAGCGAAAACACTGTGCAGTTTGGAAGACCTAGAAAGTAGCGGGTTTTCCCTGAAAAACAAAAAAAAAAAGGCAAAAAGAAAACTTCTCTGTTGTTGTTTTGCCCCAAATCCAAAATAGAAATCCGAAGGGGAAGCCCGAGCTCGGGAGCATCGGGTACGGGTGTTTTTTTGGAATCCACTTAAAAGGCTTCTGCTGTCGTAATTAAAACTCGAAATACGGATGCAGTTTGATGTGCGAAATGCGAGCCGAAACCAAAGAGAACAATAAGCCAAGAGAGGGTTACTCGAGTCCTGCGTAATCAATGATTTCGCATCGCATCCCTGCCGGACTTTGGATTTGGTTAGCATAGGGGAGCTTCCATTTCCATACATCAGGGTGGGGTTTCGCCAAAGTGAAACTGTCGCCGCTGGGAAAAAGTTTCGGGGCTGGTGGAAAAACTACAAGCGAAACACTTAGTGAGTAGTGGGAAAAGTTCATGCGTAAAACAGCGGGTCCAGAGAGTAGCCAGCGAAAGTTTTCCCCGGCAACAATGTTGGAAGTTTACTTTAAACCGAAGTATAGAGCACTTTTCTCTCTTATATTTTTCAGCTTTTTCGTTTGGCTAACTCCGCAACAGCAACAGTTGCAGCTGGAGGGGAATACTCTGCCTTGCCAGCCATCGAATTAGGATCCATAAAAGTGTCCTCGCTGATGGACTGCAGCTGCTGCTGCGCTCGCTTAAATAATATCAATCATACGCCATGCTTACCCCCATGCCAGCTGCCAGACGTCTCTTTGGGCCCTTCTCCTTTTCCTTGTCCCGACTCGCCTTGGCTGGTGGCGTTGTCATCGCGGTGGCGCCGGCTGTCGGAGTGGAGGATTTCCTTCTGCGCTGGCTCTGGTGGTGATGCTGCTGCTGCAGCTGGCAGCAGAGACGCACGTAGGTGCACTGCAGGGCGTCGGCGAGCAGGGCTCCCAGGCTGGACAGGCACATCAGCATCAGGGGGACGCCCACCAGGGCGTAGAAGATGGTCGCCAGCTTGCCGGCGGCAGTGCGCGGCGTCAGGCTGCCGTGACCTGAAAGAAGCAGGAGAAGGATCATAGGGATCGGAGTGTATCTCTGGGTTAGTCCATGAAAATGGCAAGCACGCACGGGCTAATATAAATGCATCTACTTTTAATCGGATGGGAATGTGGGAAATAAAATAAAAATGGGACAGGTCCTTGGGGTTAGCAGCATATGGTTTTTCTTTGAGTTACTTTAAACTTTTTTTAAATGTAAAAAAAAAGCAAATATAATGTATTCCACAAACAATTAAAAACGGAATGATGATCAATACGGTAAATAAAAATCCTAAATATATGCAAAACTTTAAGCTAAATATTATTTGTATCATTATTATTACACTCTTAATTCAAATTAAGCAAAAACAAATTTAAAAAAACAACTTTAAAGCTATTTAAGCATCCCCAACAAAAGACCAGTTCCTAATTTAACTCCTCTCAATTAACCCAGATATTATATACTAACTCTCGACATTCCAAACTCCCATTATGACCCTAATATTTACCACACAAACAAACTTATTGCTTGGCCACAGCAATGTCCACAATAAATCGGTTTAGCGACACATTTGAGTAGCTTATCTACGACTCTTCCCAGGGACTTTTGTGCCCCCAAAGAACATGGAACGTTGAACGTTGTTAAAGTTAAAGACCCTGAGATATAGTTAATTTGTAACAACACCAGGCTGGGGCCCCGCTATGGCCCATCACTTAGCATATGCAAATATTTTGTCTCGGCCTACGGGTCGTATACACAATGCGTCTGATGTTCCACGGCTCCCACGACTCCTGTGGCAGCTCTCTCTCTCGGTCTCTGTCTCTGTCCTGCTGGTGGCTTAGTTTGCACTAGAAGGCGTTGGGATGTCGAGGTCTATTTGTCCTTGCCCTTCGGCCCCCGCAAAGTAAATATTTGCTGGCCACAGCACGAGTTGTGGCAAATGCCCGAAATCATAATAAGCAGCTCGGCGGGCAGAGTCTCAGGATAAACACTAAACATAAATCCGAACGGCTTAGTTGTGGCAGTGAAAGTGCGGAAACGGAAACGGAGACAGAAATGGGAAGGGAAGGAAGAAGGGGAACAGAAACGGAGCCGGAACGGAACTCACCAATTGTCGTTATCACAGTGACCGAGTAAAGCAGAGCCTCGCTAAATGTCCAGCTCTGCGAGTCGCCGGCATCATAGCCAAAGTGGCCCAGGGCGCTGGCACTGCCGCCCTGGAAGTGGACTCCTCCACCGCCTCCAGAGCCACCGGATCCTTGGCGCGTGGCTGCCACAATGGAGCCCTCGAAGCGACGCAGCTGCTCGTGGACCAGCATCGTCCAGTTGCGCTCGTACAGCACGTTGAGTTTCTCTGCAAGAAATTGGGGGAAAGGAAAAAAAAAGAAACCAAAAATGGAAGGTTAGCTCGGTTGGAGAATCCTCGAGAATGCGACCAAGTGCCCTTTCCGTAATTATGCAATTTCATGCCAAGTGCAGTGATAACCCCTGACATCCTTCGACCTCCCATCGACACGGGCGACAAGTGCTGGCAAATCGGAGCATTCTCGCCTGAATCCTTCGCCCGTAGCCATAGCTCACCTTGCCATCCTCCGTCCCTCCCCTTCGATTTCGGGCGAATGTCTTGAGGAATCTGCTCCCCTTTGATGGCAATGTCGTGTGTTCGCCTCGCCTCTCCTCTCGTGGAGGAGGCAAATTGTAGAGGTCGCTTGTTAACAGCAGTTCGAGACTAGTTTGCTGTTGGCCACGCCCCCCGCCCCCTGGCCTTGGGCGTGGAAGGAGGCTAGCGAGAAGTCTCCCGTGTCATGAGGCCTCGGGTGTGCACTTTCCCCAGACATCATCAAAACCCACCCACTCTAGTCGACCGAAGAACGAAGCAAGTGGCCAAGAACAAAGGCAAAAATCAAATGTTTTCTTCATTGCCAATATTTTCCACTGATGGAAATGCATACTATACATGCTTCTCTCTTTAAAAGGAGTTTTTAGGTTTGGTAACTGAAGGTTTGGTTGAAATAGAGACATGACTTTAATGGTTGAATGTCGGGAGGCCGAATTTAATTATCGGTTAATTCTGGACTCTAGAATTTAATTAAATTTATAAGCCAAACTGCATGAAAATTATGCTAATGGAAAATATTTAATCAAACAAATTAAAGGCCTCAACAAAGTATGTGAAATCCTTTCTAAGAATTAAAGATGAAACATTTTAAAGTCAAGTTCTTGTTAATTTTAATTATTTGCTTAAATCTTGACTAGCTATTCTTGATTTTATTTTTAACACCACAATTTAAGCCTTAGCTAAAATCCCACCTCTTCCTAAGCCAAATAATAAATGACCCTTGGCAAAGGAAAGGCTAGAGGAATGCTTCACATCATTAGGCTCTCGTTGGTGTTCCTCATAGAATTAATCATAAGCCAGGTGAGACGCCGCCGCTGCCGTGGATGAGCTCAAGTTAATTGGTTTATTTATTATGTGAAATTTTAATTAAATAAACATCAGCTCTAATGAACACGCACGTGCCGCGGTGCCTTCGTCCCAAATGCCATTGGCAGGTGCGACATAGTAATTAATTTCACATAAATCAGGACCACAAAATATGGTCTTCGGACTGCGCATAGTTGCGATAAACGCACGCCAAATCGATTCGTTTGAATATCGCCGAATCGCGAAAATGGGTACAATTGCCTCGCCCGATCACATATATTTTGCGAAATGCAAATATTTTCCTATAATTCAATTGGCCAGCAACGAAAGTAAAATTTTGCCATCCTTTTGTTTAGTCTCGACTGCATGTTTGCGGGTACTTATAATTAAAATATTTGTGTTTGCCCTGTGCCGGCAATCGATTCTATTTGCTAAGCATTAATGGGCGATAAAACAAAACATTGTCGCTTCAATGTTTGGCATTACTTTGCCAATTTGCAGGCAAATCAAGCGTGCAAAGCTCGCCGAAAAATTTACAGGCAATGCGCCACAAAATGTGGCAGCAACCATTATAATTTATGCTCAATTTTTGGCGCGTTGCCAGCGAAGCGTTAAAATAACTGTTGCAAAATCAGCCAGATAGAGAAGAATGTGATTATGTACTTGAAATTAGGAGATCAAAGGTGATTACAAAGGTCAATAATGTTAATTAGTGGAAAGCTATTTGAATAAACCTGAAAGGGTTAAGTTGCTTCCTTTTAAAATAATTTAAGCATGATCTGAGATAAAATTCTTTCTGCTTTTGACTTTAAGATATGTTTCCCCCAATAACCACTCACCCGTTATAATCCAGAGTTCCCGCAGACAGTCCTCTCGACTTTTGGCTATGGCCGCCGATTTGCTCAGATCCTGCGGCGCCTCCAGCAGCGGAAAAATGAGGGCGCCCAATATGGAGTACCCGATGACTAGGAGCACCAGGCCGGGCGTGGAGAGCAGCAGCTTGAGCAGCTGTCCGGAGCAGCGTCGAAAGCAGCTGCCCGGCTTGGCAGTGAGCGTGGCAGTGGTCTTGACCCCCACCTCAGTTCCGTGCTCGGGATCCGTCTCATCGTCGATACCACAGTCCAGTTGTTGTGGCTGCTGCTGCACCTTAATCGTCGCCTTCTCAACGTCGGACATTATCGCTCAATGTTCAATGGCATTTAGTGGCCACCTGCTCTCCTTGTCGGCTTCCGTTCGTCAAGCATTTCCGTTTCCGCTGCCAGCCAAGCTGGTGATTCATGGCTGGCCCAAAAACCCCTTTGGCTCACACTAATTGCAACAACGATTTCTCATTATTCGCAATGTCGCTTTGTCCGGGGATTTCTCTTGGTCCGTCTCCGCCTCCGCCTCTGATTCTGACTCTGACTCTGTGTCTCTGTCTATATATGGCTGGGGAACCCCCAGATTCTCTATCCGCTTTTTGCCTTTAGCTAGCGTATTATGTTTTAAGCTGTCGTTGACTCGCTTTTGCTGTCGTTGTTGCTGGTGATGTTGCTGCTGCTGCTGATGTTGCTGACATGGCATTTACCATTGTTCCTGGTCTATGCACTTCATGGACTCTTCCTCCTCTTGTGCCGTTTGTACTTTTAAAGTTGTTGTGCCAGTTTATTCCCCTCCGTTTCGTTGTGTTGCCTGTAATTGAAAACATTTGTATGCTGTAGTTGCTGTAGTATTCATATTGTTGCTGCTGCAGTTGCTGCTGCTGCTGCTGCTGCCTGGCTGCTTCCGTTGAAGTGCACTTGGGAGTAGGTTAAGCGCACACAAAGTGAAAACGTACTAAATTTGACACTTCACTTAATCTAATTAGCAGCACTTTAAGGCCAGGCCTTGCTATTGTTGCTTAAATGGTCAGTGGAGAGACAAATTTGCAAGCAAGTTAAATATTTAAATAAAACAATATGTGATTAATTGATAATTGAGTTTACGTAATTTAAGAATTAATAATGATTACATTTCAAGGAAAACTCAACTCCTGTCTCAGCTACTTCCAAATAACTAATTCAATTTAGGTGCCATCTCTTAAGCTCATTTCCCACAACATATTTGACTTTTTTCTAGACCATTTAAATATCGATTCCCACTTCGACTTGACTGCCTTAACCCGCATCTTGTTAAGGCTTCATTTAACCCGACTTACCCACAATGAGCTCATTATCGGCTCCCATCGATTAAGCCCATAAAAATGATAACAATGATTAAGTCCATATAGAAAGCGGCTTGTAATACAAATTGAATAAGCGTCTGGCATCAGCACAGATATATAGATATATAGACAGACAAGCAAATTGAAATCCGTCTGCTGTCGAGTGAATCCCACCCAGAGCCTTCACACATCAAAGTCCATAATCGTAATGAAGCTGACTTTGTTGGGGCGGCCGGGTAAGGCGCTTAGGATATTTAGACATTGAATCAATTAAAGACCCGAGCGGAGAACTCAGCGATTAGTTATAGAAGCTCCTTCCCCTACCCTTCTGGGAATAGCTAGGAAAGGGAAGCAACACGCAACACATTTATTGATGTGTGCGGGAATGTGGCCAGGATACCGAGGAGGCGAAACCCAACGAGGAAAACATTTATTCTTTTTGTAGTCGCCCCCTTTGTGATGTGCACAACAAAAGGGGAGGCCTGTTCTGGCTCACGCAATTTACTTAATTGGAAAATAAAATAAGCCAAAGGCAGAGACTGGGATTGGGCTAGGGATCCGGGATTGGGTTTGAGTTTTGGCTTGGTCTTGGGCTTGTGGGTTTTCTTGTTTTTGGAGCTGACAGTCGTAACTGTGCCAAGCCGGAAACGGGCCAGCAAAACAATGGCCACTTGAGTTGCTTTTTTTTATGGCAAGCGCGCATAATTTAATTCAGCGTACAACGGGGCGTATGAGCGACAAAGGGGCCAAGGCGTAAGGCGCTGGCTAATGCAAAATTAATGTCAATCGCTGATTTAGACCCTCGGCAAGGCATGGCCAATGCCCTCTTGATTGTGACCTAACATTTGAACTGTGATGCCATCACGAACTCTCGCACACACACAAAAAACGAAGGACATTGGAACGGCGCAGGACGAAACGTCTGCCGGAAATTATCCCTTTTAGCCAGATTGAAATCAGCTTAGAGTCGCTGCTTAATTGAAATGTTTGCGTTTCACTTTAATGAAAACGTTTTCAGAAAACCCTTTTCAGTTGCCAGTTTTTCCGTCTTCAGCTCTTTCCCACCCCACCCCCGCCATATTTTCCTTTTATTCCGGACAGATTTCTTTCATTTCATCGCTCTTCCTCATTTTTCGCACGTCATTTTATGGAGTTGCCTCTGCCAAAGTTTTAATAGTTAAGTACGGCTGCAGCTCTTGGGATAACGAGGGAGAAAGCCGCCATCGCAGCCGCGCCTTCCATTTCCATTCATTTCCTTGGCCGCTTCTCTTCAGACTTTGGCTTTTGTCCCCCTCCAGCCCTATTATGCATTATTTATTATTATTTATTTTTAAATGCAATGTCAACAAACGCAGTTTAATTACAATTTTCAACTCATCAAATGCAGCAGCCGCAGCAACGAAAGGAAGCGCCGAAGAGGAGCGGAAGTGAAGGACATCGGGGGACATGGTGGACGTGTCCGAAGGAAAAATGGCGCTAATGGCTCCAACATTTGTCCCTATCCTGTGCACCCCCACTCTCTGGGCCCCCGGCTTTCATCAGCTTTTCCCACTTTTCCGCACTTCGGAGACCAGGACAGCTTGGCTTGGCTTGGCTGTTTTTAAATCCAATTTCGCTTCATAATTTTATAACCCTCCGCGTTCAATCCCCCCGAGAGAGAGATCCCATCCCCTAGTCTCGTCCTCCCCCCAACTGGTTGGCCATAGCCGATTTAATTGCATTGCTGACATTTAGCACCCAGCAATGAGAAGCCACAGAAAAAATAGAGGGAGTAGAATAGCAGGAAAAGCGCATGAAAAGTTGATTTTTTGAACCATATTTGCATGTTGACTTGTTAATTGAACTCGAATGATCTCTTTTAGTCGATTTGGCAATTTGGTTCTTTAAAATTGTTTTGTCAGATGAATGAAGGACTCCCAGGTATGCCAGCTAAGGGATTAAAATTGAGTGGAGTTGCCATAAGCTGGCTCTGATGGAATCTAACTGAAGTACAATCTGTTCTGTTCAGCCTGTTGAATGAGAAATAAATAAAATTTAAAGGTTTGAATACAGCTGAAAATTGTAGTTAAAAGGAAGCTTTGAATACACTAAATTAAATGTAAAGTTATTTTAAACAAATTTTCAAACAACACTTATTAAATTATTGTACTTTGAATTAGAATTTTTTAAAGTATTTTTCAAGAGACTTTGTTTACTCTGCATTACCATACTAAGTACCTATAAAAACACAATATCCCGTAAATAAATTAGAAATAAATTAAAGCCACACCTCAACCAGACTCGCAGCTTAACATTATTTATAAGCAGACCACAATAAAATTGTTCAGTCAAGTGCCTATAATGAAAACTAAATGCTACAAGATTACTAGACTCCGGAAAGAGGAGGTGGAGACTCCGCCAGAGATAAGGGGATTTCCCGGCGTGTTTCCACGCCTTTGAAGCCATAAAAGCAGTGAAGTGTGAGCTGAACTTTTAGCACATTAGAGATTAGAGAGTGCGAATAATAGTGGGTTTTATGGCCAGAGGTGTGAAACAAAACCGCTATATAAATATCTATATAAACAGATACAAATGGGGATATCCGCTTGGATGTATAATCAAGCCAGTGAAGCTGCACAGGAAAGTCATATGATCATGATTATGATTATGCAATTGAGAGTGCGGAAAAACACTTGAGAGGCGCTCGTAATTCAAACACAAAGCCCACAAAAAGAACCGCAAGGAAAGTGGCTGTTGCAGGCCACACGGACATTATGTGCAGCGCGGAAGCGGAGGTGCCGGGGTATCCAGGATATAATGACCATGTTAATGCCCAACACAAAAGTGCACTGAAAGGAAATGAGCAAGATAAGTAACGAGCCCGAAAATGTTACCCCCCTCTTCCCTCGTTTACCCACGGGCTGGCCAAAGTTTTCCGGAAAACAAGAAAAGCGAGTCTGGAGAAGCTAAAGACTAGCTCTCGACTCCTTGGCCGTTCCTCATTAAACGCACTCAAGTTGCTTGCAACAATCTTAATTATGTTGTAAAGTCTTTTGGCCAGGAGGGCGAAAGAAAAAGCAACCGAAGGATACCGAAAGCTGGCCAGGAAAAAGTTTGCCAGCGCGCTGATTAGTTTTTCGAGTGCCTCCAGTGCTCCAGTCTGCCGGCCAAGTCAAGCGTTTCCACTCAGTCTGTCATCTAGTCAGTCCAGGCGGCATCAGTTGCACCCAATGCTCCAGAGGCCTTCCCGGGCCAAAACTTTCCCCAACTGCGTGGCGGAACAACAAAAACTCATTAAAAACTGCACAAATGCTACGTTTGGCCCATAAATACACGGCTTGGGAGCCCACTCAGCGGCAGCAAAAGCGTCAGCACCATCGCCATTGCCGGAAAATGAGGATGAAGTGGCTGCGGCCAAGTCAAGCAGGGAAATGCAAAACTGCCCAACAAATGCACAATAATTAGGAGCAAATTTAAAAGTCGTTTGCCTGCTAATGAAGGCTTCCTTTGTGCCCTGGAGGGTTAAATGGCTGGAGGCCACAACAAAACCCCGGACCAAACTGCAGGCCCAAGTATTCAAAGCTGTTGCAGCTAATGGTCAAAATAAGTTTAATCAATTTCCTTAAATATCATAATTGCAATTTGATGCAAGAGGGTTAAGGGTGAAATGATGAAAGTTCGATTGAAATGGGTTATGAGTATTTGTATTTATTTAAAGTGTTTTTAAAAAAACGGAAATTAATAATAAAAAAAAGTATTACTAAAAATTTAAAAGAAAATCTATGCAAAATTTAATCATGAAATAAAGCTTACCTCACAAAATCGATACATTACTATTATTATTGATATATTATTTAAAATTAAAAAAATTATATATAATATACTCATTTTTATACCCTTGTATATTATTATAATTTCAGTCAGAAGTTTGCAACGCAGTGAAGGAGACGTTTCCGACCCTATAAAGTATATATATTCTTGATCAGCGTCAACATGCGAATCTTTTTAGACATGTCCGAAAGAAATCGATTTTTTGGTCATTCTTGCGAAATTTGATAAGGGGTTACATCATTAAAATAAGCAAAAATGGCCAAAAATTTTGATTTCTTAAAATTTTAAATTTGGTATGCAGTTTTTTTAAATTAATAAAAACTAACAGAAAACTGCTTTCCGAATCGAAATTAATGCATTTTTGGCTTAGTTATGATATATTTTAATTGTTACCTGCAAGGGTATACAAACTTTGGCTGGCCAAAGTTAGCTTTCTTTCTTGTTAATCAAGAAAGCTTGCTTTACAAAGCCGAACCTAGATATCCTTGCAGCTTAATTTTTCTTTGCAAAATTTCACTAACCACATGTTATTGAACATTTCACCAAATTAGATTTATTTTTTATTTTAAATTTGAGCACAATCATAGAGTATCTCATAGTCCATAGAGCATAATTATAGAATAACTATTCTTTTAAAAATAATTTTCTTTGTAAAAATGCTCAAGTAACCTATTTTAAA